ATAAAAATCATTAGATTACTCTAAGCTTCTGTAAACCTGCAAAATGATGGAAAATCTGTGTCAATTACCGACATTCTGTTCACGTGAGCAGCTGTCAGTCAGCACCTGTCATCCTCCAGACGCACAACGGAGTGCATGTCTGAGCCAATCGCTTCTTTTGACATTGATCAGCTGACTGATTTAAATACATCTTAACATTCATGAGGTACTTTGCATTGACTGTTTATGGTTGAATCTGGGCGTGTAGAGGGTAGAACCTGAGGAGGAACCTTGTGCGCAAACTCTGATGTGTGGCTGTGATTTATAAAGGAAAGATGCTGAGAAACATACGTGCGCACGGTTTTATAAATCTGAATTTTTTTTGCGTACGCCATTTTCGTCTTTTGGCCGCACGTTCATTTTTAGTATGGTTTCCACTCAATCCTTTATAAATCTGACCCCAGAGCGCTTTGTTTTTGCATGCCTTGAGTTGCCATGACATCCACGGCAAACTTTCAGTTTGGCAAAAATGAAAAAAGGGTCCGTTTCCCCGTTTTTGGAGTATAAAACAAAAAAAGAAAAACCATCCGTTTTTCGTTTTTCCAATATAAGTTTTTAAAACGAAAAATGAATAACAATCCGTTTTTCGTTTTTTAATATCTGTTTTGAAAATGAACAAACAACCATCCGTTTTTTTGTTTTTCATTATTTGTTTTTAAAATGAAAATCGAATGACCAAAAGATACACTGACCCTCATCAGTACCTGCTCTTTATATTCAGTCCTTTGTCACCACCTGTCAGTTCAGCATTGTCATTCCTCCTCGTGTGTTCCTGGTTCTTCTCTTGCTGTTGTAAGTTTTGCCACCATGCTGGCTTTTGTTTTCCATTAATACACTGCTTGGCAAAAAAAAATAGTCACACTCTAATATTTTGTTGGACTACCTTTAGCTTTGATTATGGARCACATTCTCTATGTCATTGTTTCAATGAGCTTCTGCACCAACACCAGATTTATTTCCATCCAGTGTTGCATTAATTTTTCACCAAGATGATGGTAGAGTCTGACCGTCTCCATCACATCCCAAAGATTCTGTGGACTCTGTGGAGCCAATCCATGTGTGAAAATGATGTCTCATGCTCCCTGAACCACTCTTTCACAATAAAAGCCCCCATGAATCCTGTCATCTTGGAATATGGCCATGCCATCAGGGGAGAAACAATCCATTGATGGAATAACCAGGGGTCAGATTTATAAAGGATTGCGTGGAAACCATAACAAAATTGAACATACGGCAAAAAGGTGAAAATGGCGTGCACCAAAATTTTCTTTCAGATTTATAAACCATGCGTACGCATGTTTCTGCGCACCTTTCATTTATAAATCACAGCTGTACCCTAGAGTTTACGCACAAAGTCCCACCTCAGGTTCTACCACCTACACACCCACACTCAACGCATCTTATGAATGTTAAGATGTATTTAAATCAGTCAGCTGATCAATGTCAAAAGAAGTGATTAGCCGGTTCAGACACGCTCCGATGTGCATCTGGAGGATGACAGGTGCTGACAACTGCTCATGTGAACAGAATGTCTGTAATTGACACAGATTTTCCATCATTTTGCATGTTTACAGATGTTTAGAGTAATCTAATGATTTTTATCAAAAACTCAGCTTCAAATTAATTTTCTCTCAGAGCCTGCAGGATGATAAAAACAATAAGTAAAATCAAATAAGTCGGATAAAGTTAGAAATACCGTTAATTTTCATTGCTCCCCCCCCCACCCATCCTCCCCCTCCTGCCTGCTCTGTTATCTGCAGCTGACTGTCTCCTCACCCCCTCACATCCCCACAGCTGTTGAAATGTCTCTAGTAGGGGAGGAGTCTGTGGGTCAGGGTCATGAGGAGGAAGGAGATGGATGGAGATGTGTGAACTTTTATTTAAGATTTAAGTTTTTTTATTTTAAAGATCCTTATGACAGCAGCAGAAGCATAAATAATAGTGCTAAGAAAGCTGATGATAAAGTTGAATAAAAATCCAAGTCTGATTATGAAGTGAAATTAAATACCTGACAGTGATCATTACACAGTTTGGCTATAATTCCTCACTTCACCATCTGTGTCGCAGTTTCCCGTCTCCAAAATGAGCGTACGTATGGGTCAGAGCTGGCGGGAGGCACCGCACATTTTCACGTCAAGTTTGGATTTTATAAATCACAACCTTTGCGTGAAAAGTGGCGTACGCAATTTTCTGGGCTCGTTTTGTGCGTACGCAAGCTTTATAAATCTGACCCCAGGTCATTCAGTATATTCAGGTAGTCAGCTGACCTCATTCTTTAAGCACAGATTGCTGAACCTAGACCTGACCACCTGCAGCAACCCCACAACATACACATTAGTTACGTCCAGGTGGACACTTTTTTTTGGCCAGACAGTGTATAATAAAACAGTTTTATTTTGTGTTACCCGAGTCGGTCTGTATTCTTGGTCCTTTTGTTAACAAACCAAACAAAATTTGGCAGATCTTGTAAGAATCCAGCATCTCTGAAAGATTAACAACTTTGTCCACAATATTTTAGCCTATAGTACAGTATGTGTCTCAGAAATGATATCAGGACTTCATGTCTGCAGCCAGATAAAGAATAAATTTGTGACAGGAAATCACGAACTGCCACGCAGAAAATGAAAAATGAACATACTGTCTAAAGCACTCTATACCAAAGCAAAGCAAGAAAACTGAATTCAGATGAAACTCAGAAGCTTCATGAGGTGTGTGCTCATATCAGCAGCATGAAAAACCTTTAGGTTGCTTGTGGTCTACAACAGATTAAAGAGAGAAACCAGCAAAGAGTGGATGGACTGAAAGCCAAATAAGTCATAACTTATTTGCTTTAAAAGACCTGTGGGCACTTATAAACTYAGTTAAATACATCAGCGGGTGTTTAATATGTGCTACCTGTGGCTATACAGCACACTGGCACTCAAATGGGAAACTAGGAGTGAATGTTTCTCATTTTATTAATTATGTAATTTCACTTGCGGAGATGTTATTTAAATCTGTATTGCCTTTTTATTGTACATCATGTTTAGTTCAAGTTAACTGAAACATTTAACAAAAGAGCTACTTTTCAGTTTAGGAATTTATTAAACTTTTTGTTTGACACATGATGTGCTGGACACAGGTTCAAACTGGATCAGTAGGAACAGAAACTTAGTTATTTTTTATTTACCAACTGAGAAAACCTACCAGCTGTAATGACCTCCCCACCAGCAAGGTTGGTTTGTTTTTCTGTCTGGTTTTGAGAGGGTTAAAAGAAGTGTGGTGGTGGTGGAGAGCTAGAAATTAGCATTTTTAATCCCCCCCCCCCTTTTTTTTACCAAACTGTGATTTACTGTACATTTAATTTTACCAATTGTTTATGCTTTGATCAACAGAAAACATAAGTAAAGACACAGCTTAGTGACTCTTGTCTGCACTGTTCAACAGACAAAAAAATAAGAGTTTCAGGAGTTTTAGGGAACATCCTATTTTCCAATATTTAATGAAACATTTGCAAATGAAATCATGACAGACATTTGATATAATAATGTTCTAGGGAACAGCTTGTGCTGAATAAAGATTAAAAAAACAATTACATGTTTACACTTGATTCATAACTCCAAGAATTAGCTGACAAACAGCCCCACTGATGATATCACTTTAAAAACTACAATAATTAGCTAATGTATCTTCTTCCGACACATCATAACCCCAAAAACTGGACCAGATATATACAGTTCTCATTGTGATTCATGACTGGATCTAGAATATAGCAGTGTTTCCAATTCCTGTTTTGATTTTTTTCCAACACAGCGAAAAACAAGTTCTTTGAGTTGGACAAAATGTCATCTGATTTTCAATTAAAGACCTTTCCAACCCACAGCTGTGGCTTTCTAAATTAAAAACATAGAGCTAGAATCGGCAACATGTTTCTCATTTCCTGAAGTGCACCACTGAAAAAGTTTGTTTAAACACTAACAGTTAATTCTCTTGCACGTCTCCCCCTCTTGTTTTTGAGGATAATTATTACTCCTGCAGTATTATAAGCTGAGGGTAATTTATCCTTCTGATCCTCTGTGTGTTTACGTGAGATACACTCACTCTGCCTCTCCAGAGAAGCAAGATTCCTATCTGGCTCCGACTGAGCTCCCCATCTGGCCTYGTGCCAGAGCTCTGTCACATTTCCACACATGGATGAAAACAAGCAGGAATCAGAGAGAAAGGGCTGAGCAGAGGCTGTGGAGGAACTCACGTCGCACTGGAAAGGCTTCTCTCCTGTGTGCGTCCTCATGTGCTCGTCAAGTCCTCTTTTCTGGCTGAAGGCCTTGTTGCACTCGCTGCACTTGTAAGGTTTCTCCTGTAGTGAGACGCACRCACACACATGAACAATGGTTTTAAAGAGGGCACTTCATATGACACAACTGCACAGAAAATCACATATGGGCCAAACCTGGGGAGAAAAGAACAGTAACAATAAACACATGTTCCTAGAAATAAATAAACAAACATGCACACAAGATGTGGAAGTATCCCTGTAGCACACACACATCCTTGTATTTGCACCAAACTGAGGACTTTGTATTGACTTCCATTCATTTTTATAACTGGATTTCTGCCTAGCCCAGACATTTTCTCTCACCCTAAAGGCTTGGTTATAGTCGCGCTTTGGGTTGTCATGCATGCTGCATTGAGTGTGCGCGCTCCTGAGCCACGTGCTGTGTGAAATCATAGTTGACGTTCACGCTAGCACCGTTCTTCTTACCGACAGTAGTTTACCCATTAACAAGTGTGGTTTTTGGTTCTATTTTCACTAGTGCTTACCAAAAGTTTGTTTTTTTCATTTGTTCTACGGCTTGTTGTTTACAGCCCAGTGATTTCAGATTAGGGTCATAGGGTGTGCTTCTCTTATGTACACATTGTTTCATTGTTCTGAAGTTTTGATGTGAATTAGGTTTGCAGTAGTAACTCTGCAACAATAGTTATGAACGTGTTGCTGTAGAAATGACAAAAACTGTTGAAATAACTGAAAAGAGTCAACTTAAAAGGAAGCATTTTATTTGTATATTCTAAAACAAGGCAAAACAAAAAAATGCAATTTCTTTCCAGGTGTTCTGTGCCATATGGTTATCTTTATGATCTCTCATGGAGGGATCATATAGATGACGTACATGCGTACCTGTGCACCTTCGAAAACATCTATCTTGAAATAAAGTGTTGCGCGTAGCTATTGCGGAGCTACAGAATCTCGGAGGTACACGACCACGCGTCAGGACCATTGATCTATATTACTGTATTGGACATCGCCTATAGAGGCTATAGCTAGCGACGCCCCATCATAGGAGCCATTGCTATGCATTGAGTCATGTCAACAAAATGGTAGAGTTTCAATGCAGGATGTGCGTCAATCTGTCACAAAAATATTCATAGCACCCTCATTTCTTATCCGATTTCTACAAAATATGGCTTAAATTAAAGCTGAGAAAGTTGCTGATGTTGTTAAAAGATATGTATTTGCTCAAGAGATAAATCTATAAGCAGTCTGAGAACTTTTCATTATAGGTTTTTGCTAACGTATTTACAGAAGAAGCCCCTTTCCGTCACATAAAACTAAGAGTCATGTGTGTCATATATACTGTATATATATATATATATATATATATATTGGGATGTCATTCGGACTAGAGAAGTGTGGTCGGATGGTTACAAAGAGAGGGAAGGTCATCCGCACAGAAGGGGTCTCACTCCCAGAGGGA